TCCTCCTTCTCCTTCTCTTCTTTCAACGCCTCCACGCTCAACAGCGTTGCCACCAGGGGGGGGACAGCGGTGGATTCCCCGCTCCCGCCCCTTCACCGATCCCCGCCGCCCTCCCAAGGGTGGTGGTCTCCGCCGGGAGCTGCGCGGCTACGTCCTCCCGCGCCAACGAGGCGGACTCGCGCACGACGGCTGGCCCTGCCGCGGACACGGACGCGGCGGATCCTGCGGCTGCAAGGTTGTTGCTGCGGCCGGCCCGCTGACCGTCTTCGCCGGTTCCCGCTTCTCGTGCCTGTTCCCATCGATCGGAGTTTCTGTGGTCACCAGCAGCAGCGCGGTCGGGATTGCGGTTGGGGCAGGGCGGCGGTCGGTAGCGAGACGTTCGTGAAGTCGGTGGAACGTGGGGGGGGCGTACTCATTTGTTGCTTGCCGTAGTCATTTGACCATTGACCACGCGTCCCTTTCGAGACGGAGAACGTGGGGGGGGGGGGGGGGGTCTAAGACCATGATGCGCGGAACAGAAAAATCGTTTCTACGGGCAAAGAAAGGTGGTTTCTTCATGATTCTGCCTGAAACGTGCCCCATGTGTCGAATGCGCAGGAGGTGGGGGAGCGAGAAGAGGGGACGTTGAAGCCCCAGCCGGCTAGACTAATCGACCAGCGTCGTCTCACGGGGTAAGCAGCAGCTGCAACCGAGCCAGCGCAGTCACAGACACAATGAAGGGGAGCAAGGCTGCGGCTATCGACACACATATTCTCCACTCATTATGTCCCCAAGACCCCTCCCTCTCATATCGTTCTTACCTCGACGGGAATCGGACGACCGCGCGCTCTGTGGCCGACGGTTCATCATGCCCAGGTGCAGCCTGGCCGGGTCGGAAGGGACACCAGAGAGGATACGAGCGCACAAGGTCGATGCCGCTTGTCGGGTCGCTGCAACGGAACTCGACAAGCACGATTGTTGCCCTCGCTCGAATTCAAAGCGGCGAATACTGCAAGATGCGGGGTAATGGATGCTTATATATAGTGGTGATGGGTTGTGGACGTGTTTCGACCCGCTCTCCGGGCGGGAGCCGCTCGCTTCGCGCTTTTTTATCATCTCCGCTTTCCTGTACCAAGAGAGAGCAGCAAATGGAAAAACGTCGAGCCTCTCAAAAGTGCCTGGAACAGGTGAACGATTCCCAACCTGCTTGTCGTCGACGCCGTCCGGGTACCGATTGTCGTTGGCGGCCGCAGCAGGAGGCACCGCCTCCCTGGCGTCTCCTGGAAGTCCGTTTCCTTCGCCGCCTCCACCGCGGGTGACGACCTCTTGGCTCGGTCCGGGCACCAGAGACTCTTCATCGGCCACCCCCTCCCCCCCACCTACGCCTCCGTCATTTGGGTTTGTCCCTCTCTCCACCCCTTCCTCGTCACGATCCGCTCGCGTCACGGGCGTCCCGCGTCCCTGTTCAGGGTCCGCGCCACCGCCATCTGCTGCCGCGGGATCCGCGTCACCCCAGCCGGTTTGGCTTTCCGTCTCGCCTGCGAGGACCCCTTCCTCTCCGCCGCGCTTGTTAGTGGTGGTGCTGGTGGCGTCGGCCCGGGGTGATACCGAGTCTGCCGAAGGTTCGGCCTCGATGACACCGGGAACCGCCTGGATGGCCTCCGGGGTCGGCGGCTGTGCGTTGGCGAGAGGGGCCTCCCTTTCTTGTCCTTTCCACCCCTTACCCTCCACTTTGTTGTCTCCCGCGTCGCCCACTTCGCCCTTGTCCCCCTCCTCCGCCTCCGCCTCCTCTTCTTCCTCCTCCTCCTTCCCGTCCTTCTCCTTCTCCTTCTTCTTCTCCTCATCCTCCTCCCCCTCCTTCCCCTCCCCCTCCTCTTTCTGCTTGTGCGGCTGCTGGTCGTACACCGATGTGGAACCTTCGGCGTCGGTGCTGCCTTCCTCAGCATCGAGTCCTCGCTGGTCACGCTTCTTCAGTCCCTCGCTCTCTTCCACCGCGACTCCTACGGCCAAGCGCTCGCCTTCCGGCACGCCGTTGCCCTCTACCCGCCCCCCACGAACTCCGCTGCCACCACCGCCATCACCGTCAGCAACGATGATCCCGTCGGATGGTCCCCTTCCATTGTTAGGGTCAGGCAGCATCGACGTCTCATCCACCTCCCTACCCTTACGGGTGTCGCTCTCGAGGGAGGAGGCCTTCGGTGCCTTCGGTCCGGCGGGGGCGGCGGCGGCGGCGGCGGCGGGATCCACCACGCTGAAATCGCTCTCGTCGTCGAAGGTGACGGGGTGGGAATCTCCGGAAGCCCCCCACGTTCCCGCCCGCTCCACCCCACCTTCGCCGACGGCACGGGCGCGTGCGGCAGCGTCTACCCCTCCGAGAGCACCTCCCTCGGCATCCACGCGGCCGCCTACGCTGCTGTATAGGTAGCCGCTGATCCCGCCGCCGAGCTCCCCGCCAGCACCAGCCCCCGCAGC